ATGTATATATATATATATATATATAATGTTTTGCTGTCCAACTTAGAAAGGCCTTGAGGTCAGGGTTCAAATCCCCCACTGCTTCTATTTCCTGTTCAAGGAATCCAGTGCTGCAAAAACAGCCATTGTGTTTTTCAAAAAGAGTGCTGCTGGGTAGGGGAGGCCAAGGGAAGGTCAATGGGGGGAGGGGGGAAAGGAGACATATGCACTACTATTTGTAATACTTTAAACAAGAAAAAAAAGAGAGGGTTGAATTCTAGGGGTGCCAACCATGCCACAGGTCAGGGGCTAAACAAGGGACTTAGCCTGGGACAGAGAGAGGCTTCCAAAGAAGCCCTTGGGAGTTTCCTTTCTGATCTCTAGTCTCAGGTATCTCTCAGAGGCACCTTGCTAGAGACTTTTGGTCATACTAACTGATTTTATCCTTGCTTCTCCCCTTCCCAGAGATTCCAACACAGCATAAGTGAAAAATGAAGGTTAATTCCCCAAATCTGTCATCCCCAGACGCTATTGCCCTCTCAGCCCCTCCAACTCCATTGGAGCTGCCCAATCTCATATCTATTGGCTTTCTCACTACAAGCCAACTTACCAGTATTAGATGCTTCCCACCCAACATTTTTAAGCAAGCTTTTTCCCCCTAAATCTTTAGACAAAGGGAAGGATGTGCTCTTGGTTCTGGCTGTCCAGTAGACATTTGAAGTATCAAGCTGGGGGGTGTAGTATTTCTCAGGAAATAAAAGCATAAGATTGGGGTCTTGACCAAGTTCTGAAAAACAAAAGATCAAGACAAGGTTGTTCATTAAGCAGGTGTGTGGGGGGAAAAAATGGCAGTAAATTATTTAATTTCTACTTGTTTCTTTTAAATCTACATAAAATGGGCCAGGCCAGTTATGTCTGTTTTCATTTGGGGCCTCTGAGTTTCTATGCAAAAGTCACAGAAGGCCCCTACTTAGATTTTTCCAGCCTACCTACAATGCAAAATTTATCAGAGCTCTTTTACAAGGAGAGAGCATGAGAGGGCTGTGGGAAAGAGCTGAAAGAGGGACTGCTTTTCTGAAGCTCCAGCTTAATTTTCTTCAATGGTATGAATGAATAAGTATCCTTGTCAAAATAAAAAAAAAAATAACTTTTTAAGAAAGAAGCTCCTCTAGGACAAGGAGAAGGTTGCACAACCTGTAACTGAGCTCGACCCTAATATATGTAGCTAATTGTTGTGGAGGGTGATGAAAACCTTTGAGAGTAAACCACAGAGCAGTCCATGTGGATGTAAAGGCCAGGCCTGCTGTAGTTTGCCCTCCCTTGTGGTGAGGGATAGCACTGCACAGTCGGAGATGCTCAGGAAGGGAGTCCTGGTTTTCAACCCCCTTGGCTGGGTGACACAGTTCAAGTCACTCAGATTCCCTGATATATGGCTTCCTTATCTATGAAATTCAGGAGCTGGACTAATTTTTTTTCATCACTTCTTCCTTTCAGATTATCATTCTTTCACTTTCCTAACGCACAAAGAAGCCAAGTGGCATATCTCATTATCTAATTGCCCATAGTTCACCTAGCTTAAAAATCCTTTTGGATTCCATTAGTCTACAATTATAACCACAAATAAGGTCTCATGGACATTAGGAATTCCCATCCTTCAAGACCTCAAACTCTGAAACTCCTTCACCTGATAGCTCGCCCCCAGCCTGCTCTTATCTTCACTAAACCTGTGCTTTCCCCACACTGGACCTTTCACTCCTGGACCCCTGAGAAATCTACCTCTTGCCTCCTTTTTGGTTCTTTTTGCTTCCCTGATTGAGCTGGTCAAACATTTCCAAGATCTTCTCACCAACACACTAGATCAATGGCTCTCAAAGTGAAGTCCCAGCCAGCAACATCAGCATCAGCATCAGCATCAGCATCAGCTAGGAACTTGTTAGAAGTGCAACTTGTCAGACCTGCTGAGTCGGGAGGTCTGAAGGAGCCCAGCCATCTGTGATTTTATAAGCCCTACTGGGGATTCTGATACAGCTAAATTTAAGAACTGTGCTAGCCTTACTTAGCCCTTTCACTGTCTCCAGCCTTGGATAAACTCCACTTCAAGGCTAGATTTTATGTGCAAGCAAGGAACATAGTGGAATGAGTGAAAAAATAAAGCCCTAGGTTTTGACCTGTTGGCCTGGTTTCTGCACAGTGAAGGGTAAAGGGCAAAACAATTCATTAGCTTCCCCCTCACATACCTCCCAAGGCCAGTCCAATCTCTCACTCACTGACACAGGAATCACACCAGCCTTCAGTGATAGACACACACACTAGCCATTTCTGGGCCAAAGGGAGAAAGAAATACATTTTAAAGGCTTGACAGTTAAAAGTTCGGTACACCCTCCTACATTTGTCATTTGACGATTTTCTAGAAGGAAGTTACATTCAGCAAGTTCTCCTTTGGGAAAAAGGATCTGGTGTCAGGGCAAAGGACTCTATTCTGCCTTCAGAAAAACTCCGATCTACCTAAGTTTGTCCACAACTCTAGTTCCTTTACCGACTCCGGGAGCCTGGCTCCCTGGTCTCTGGGCCCTCTGGTCTCTACCTGTAGCCTCATTTACCTAAAATGGTATCCTGCTCCCTCTGAAACAGGACTCTGATGACGTTGGCAGCAGTGAGTAGTAACTTCTGGTCGCACATCTGCAGCAGCAAGAGTGTGTAATTTGCCTTAGTCCGGTGGGTGCTGCTCCCAAACCAGCACAATATCTCCCTCATCTTCTGCTCTATTGTCCTATCCAGCATCTGGTTCATGAACTTCATGATGTCCCGCTCCTGCTTGCTGAGGTCGATCCGGGACCTGTTATAGATGAAATCCTTCCCCTGTGTGGTCTGAAGGATATTTTGAAAATAGTATAACAAATATAAGCTATCCAACTGTCCCAGAATGCTCACTAGAAACCTCCTCTGAGCTATATCACTGACCCTTAGGAACCACTCTTTGGTGGAGAAGATCTTCCTAACCAAGATGCACGTTTCACACCTCTGGCACACGGGCACAGATTCATTTCCCTTCTCACAGTGAAAATAGGGGAAAGTATTGAGCCTTGATTCCATGTTGTCCATGATCTTGAGATGACCAGCTCATTTTATCCTTGCCCGTGGTCAGCCCCACCAAACAGCAGAGGGACAGGAGAAGCTGATAAATATCCCAAATGACGCTTTTCTATTATAAACATCTCCCAGAGGAAAAGCAAACCTCTGAGATGGATGGGAAGCTTAGCTCTCCCAGAAACTGCCAGTAGAAGTCCCAGGAAACGTGGTTTTACCGTAAATCTCCTAAACCTGGCGCTGCTTTTGTGGAGGCAGTTGCTGTATATTCTGAAAGAGCTGGTCATCTCATTTCTAGAACAAGAATAGTGTTAGTCAAATTTAAATAATATATGGACCATTTTTAAAGGGAGAAAATATTGTGTAGCCTGGTGTTGAGCTTCATTTGGTATTGTTATTTAATTACTTTTAAATATTTGTGAATATAAAATTAGATGTAACTTCTTATGGTTATAGCTGTTTGATTATAAGGTGGCTATCCCAATGATCATGAATATATTTACACTCATTTTCTTAACTCATCATCGAAGTAAAAACACAAGTGTTTAATATAAATTTAAGTTATTTAGCTGCTTGAGAACACTAACCAGAAACCTCTTTAGGGAAGCACTCCTTAGCGGAAAAATTTTCACTGGGACAAAGAGTGTACTTGGGGACTTCCAACCTCAATCACATGCCCACCCATGTGTCTAGGAGGCAGCTTAGGAGGGAAAAGTGTGGGGTGTGGGCCAGACTCTTGGGTTTGGATCCCAGCTCACCTGCTTACTAGTTCTGTGAACACAGGTGCATTGCTTCATCCTCTCCGCTTCAGTTTCCTCAACTGGGAAATTTAGACAACAGTTCCTACTTCATGCTAGTAAAGTCCTTGTGAGGATTAAATGAGGTACCATACACAAAGCACTTAGGAGATTGTCTAGTACATAATTAGCCCCCAATAAATGCTAATTATTGTGCCCTTGTCACCATCATCATTATTATCATTGGGATCACTCTTCTGGCAGCCGGGCAATCAATGTTCACTAGGATGTCCATATGTGTGTATGTTCATACATTGAGATACATGTAAAGAAATAATGCGAGTGTAGTTTTTAAAATAAAAAATGACATGAAAATAACTTACTTATTTCATGAGATCTTTATCTTTTAACTCTGGCTTATGATCCATTCAGGAGTGACGACATAAGGGTGCACATGGCCATTAGAAATTTTTCAAAATAATTAATAAAGACGTACTGCTGCTAAGTTGGGAAAAATTACTGTACTAGACTATTGCCTAACATAGCTACCCAGCTTGTCCCTGCAGCCAAAATGCCCTTGTAAATGTTGGCAGCCCAGAGAAGAGACTTGAAAGCACACTGGGACCATTCTGCTTCAGACAAGACGAGGTTCAAACACTGGTTCTGGTTCTTCGGAACTACATGGTCTTGAGTAAGCTACCTGGACGAAGATGGCAGAGATGAAGGCAGGTAATAAAAATTATAGCTACCTTCTGGGATTAAAGCAAATGTGTGAGACCAGTGTCACTGCTACTGTTGTTGTTTTTATGGTTATTACTCTAGATTAAAGAGAAGATTTGCAATGACACAAGCACTTCCAGTGTAGAGACCAGGCAGTTAAAGATAGGCATTGGACATCATTGCCAGCGGTGGTTTGTAATGGCAGTCCCATACAAGGGTCGGGTGTGGGACAAGGATCAAGCTGGGAAGAACAGTGCTAGTAGCTCAGCCTCTTCTATCTGAAGAGATATTTGAAAGGCAAGAGCAGATTAGTATCTAATCTATCAGAAAGGCCAGACAAAGGAGGGTGTAGGAGGCAGGAGCCCCAAAGCAGAGGATTGGGTATATATTGTCCCCAGAAGGACTACAAACTAAAATTAAAAGTAGCTTGTTTTTGAAAATCCAAATTAAGATTTTAATCTGTGAGGCTGATATACATAAAGGAAGCAGTTTTACTAAGCCAACAGCCTTTACTCCATGCTCAGAGGCCCACTGTGGCCCCCTTTGAGGGAAGTCAGAGAGACTAGGTGGACTCCCAGAGGTGCGGCCTTAAACAAGTACCTCCAGCCTCACTGAGGCCAGTTTCCTTCCTGTGAATGACACATGACCCTCCCTACCCTGCAGGATGTAATGTGAGGATTGCATTCATCAAAGTAGGCCATCATGCTACTTCTGCTGCCTCTCCATTCCACTCATTACCCTACACACACATGTGCACACCTGGTTATGCACACACAACTTCTCACCTGGCTCAGGAGTCATTTGGGATCTGATGGTAGGGTTTAAAACAGGGGTCCTCAAACTACGGCCCACGGACCACATGCAAATACAAATATTGTATTTGTTTCCGTTTTTTTTTTTTTTTTACTTCAAAATAAGATATGTGCAGTGTGCATAGGAATTTGTTCATAGTTTTTTTTTTAAACTATAGTCCGGCCCTCCAACGGTCTGAGGGACAGTGAACTGGCCCCCTGTTTAAAAAGTTTGAGGACCCCTGGTTTAAAAAGTGGCCTTGGTGAAGGGCAGGACAAGATGACCAGATGGGATAAGCCAAAGGGCTAATAGGCAACCTGGAAACTCAATGATTTCTCATGGTGGAGAAGTGGCTCGGGGATACCCAAAGAGGTGAGCAGGCAAACAGGTCTCAGCCAGAGTGAGACCCAGGTCAGGAAACATTTCTCCAAGGAAGGCTTTGGGCTGAGAAATCAGTATTTCTCAGATATCCAGGCTACCAGCACCCTGAAGACCAGTCCCCTAGCTTTCCTCTCTGCCCTCTACTGGTATATTCATTGTTTATGATTCTGACTAAGCCCTCCTGCCATCCCGCCCCAAATCTACACTTTCTCTCCCATCCTGCCACGCGGTTTAGAGAACCTGGCAGGTCCAGCTGCTGCTTGCTGCCTGGCTCTCTGCCTGCCTAACACTGCACCTGAGGCTCTTCTGGTTCTCACCAAAGCTGCCTGCCTAGCCCTAACCAGTCTGGTTCAGTGGATAGAGCATCAGCCTGCGGACTGAAGGGTCCCAGGTTCGATTCTGGTCAAGGGCATGTACCTTGGTTGGGGGTACATCCCCAGTAGGGGATGTGCAGGAGGCAGCTGATCGATGTTTCTCTCATTGATGTTTCTAACTCTCTATCCCTCTCCTTTCCTCTCTGTAAAAAAATCAATAAAATATATTTTAAAAAAAAAAGCTGCCTGCCTTGAGTCAGCCAGCGGGAAGTCAGGAAAGGGCTCAGGCCCCAGAGTAGAGGAGTGTGGAATGAAGCCAGGCTGTGCTTCTGAGCAACTACATACCCCTGGATAACTCACTTTCTGCCCTCTGCCTGCTTCCCTTTTCTAAAATGGAAATTATAATTCAACCTAGCTCACAGGCTGGTGTCAGGGTCAAATGAATGGACATATATAAAAGGCACTTTATAATGTAAGATGAACAATACAAGAAAAATACTAGTAGTTCGCCCCCGCCCCCCATCTCTGGAAGATTTGTTCCAAGACCCCCAGTGGATGCCTAAAACCTTGGGTAGTACTGAACCATGTATCCATTATGTATTTTCTTATAGGTACATAGCTATGATAAAGTTTAATTTATAAATTAGACACAGTGAGAGATTAACAACTAATGATAAAAGAGACCAATTATAACAATATACTGTAAAAAAATGTATGTGTCTGTGGTCTCTCTCTCCAAAATTTGGATCACCAAGGTGGCTGCTAGGTCACTAACAGGCAGGTGGTGTATCCAGCGTGGAGATGCGGGACAAAAGGGCGATTCCACCCGAGGCAGGAAGGAGCAGGACAGTGTGAGATTTCATCACGCTCTTCAAATTGATGCCAAGTATATAAATTGTGAATTATTCATTTCTGAAATTTTCCATTTAATATTTTTGGACAATAGCTGACTCCAGGTAACTTTAAAAAGCAGCACCATGGCCCTAGCTGATTTGGCTCAGTGGTTAGAGGGTCGGCCTGAGGATTGAAGGATCTGGGGTTCCATTCTGGTCAAGGGCACCTAACTCGGTTGCCAGCTGGATCCCCAGCCCTGATTGTGGCGCATGCGGGAGGCAACCAATTAATGTTTCTCTCTCTGTCTTGCCCCGCTCGCTTCCACTGTCTCTAAAAATCAATGGAAAAAATATCCTGGGGTGAGGATTAACAACAACAAAAGGCAGCACCATGGATAAGGGGCTCTACTGTATTGTTGTCATGAGGGAAAATGGGAAAACTGTCATGTTTGAACCATCACTTTCCCATCATGTGATGTTACACTTGATGACCAAGTTAAATGATAAAGTCTCTGTCCATGAGAAATCATTGAGTTTCCAGGTCGCCAATTTGCCCTTTGGCTGTGAAAGAAACAGATAGGAAATAAGGGCACCGGCTAGAAATGCTTTCTATCCAGAACAGGGAGAACCAAGAGAGCACAGAAAAGTTCTCAGCCTCGCTAAAACCGCTGAATCACCAAGAAGACAGTGTAACCTTGGGGCGGCCAAGACTTCTTCCTGTTTGTACTAAAACTTGCGGGCACTCGCTATTGGTGCCTGGAGAGCAGACCAAAATGAAGAGAATGGAGGTAACCAGTGGCTCTCAAACCTAAATGTGCGTCAGCTTCCCTGCAGGCCTTAGGAAGGCAGTGCTGGCCCCCCTGGAGCTTCTGAATCAGTACACCTAAGCTGAAGCCCAGACCTGGCATCGCTAATAACTTCTCAGCAGGTGCTGC